TCTGTGTGACTGAAAAGCCAGTTTTGCTTGTGTAACTTCTAGAAAGGTTAATAACGAGAACTCGCAGCTGTTGAGCTGAACCACAGTCAGCACCAAGGTGTCAACAACGAACCCTGGGATGTGACGTGGCCACAGCCGATGTCAGCATGGGGACAGGAAGGTTGGCTTGGACAAAGCAACCAATGTCAGTCAAAGCTGTGTCACGTGTGCTAGCCAACCACCCTCTGAATGTAGAACGATTAGTTATACTTCTTTGCTATGTGGATTTATTGGATTTTCATAATTTGTTTAGTGCCGTTGATCGTGTTAGCCATGCAGTATTGTCTCTCAGATATGACTGAGCTTGTGTAACAGGCTGTAGATTGTATGGTTAGCCTGTTAGCTGTAACTGAGCAAATGTGTCCAATCATCTTAATATTTGAATGTTTCCAGTCTGTGCAGACTGTCCTTACAAACGTTTGTGAACGAGCGCATCGTTCTGCTGAGTTCACTGATGTGCTGCTATAACACAGCCGTCAGTTTGACAGCATGTTGCTACATCAGACATGCTGGTGTTAGCTAACAGTCCATGAATGGACTGATTGAGTTTGATCATAAAGTTCAAGCTACTCCTGGAGTCCAAGAATAAACATGGAAGTACAAATACTTACTTTCAGTAATACAGACACAACTGTAGATGGCTGCATGAGTTCACTGTTGAATCTGAGAGTGCTACGGTTGTAGACAGGGCCGTGCAGAGACATTAGAAGGGGTGGGTGCTCAAGCCCCGCCCCCCACATGTGCCTGGTTGTAGATATGTTGGCTGTTTGAGCCACATAACGGAGAGGTTGAAATGCCACCAGAACCCTGTGAGCTGTTTACAGGTTTGCTCTGCTTCTTCTCTGCAGGATTGCTTTGACAAAGCAGAACTTCACCCTGAAGTACGACACCAACATTCCCCGACAGGTGGTAAGGATCCCTTCAGATACTTGTCAGAGTGTGTTTGCATCTAATTCAGTCTAATGATGATGTCATATATTTGTGTTTGTGTGAAGGGCCTTGCAGGAAGCAGGTGAGTATTTTTGCTTTATTTTGAAACGGCGTGCCATAACTCAGAGGTCATTTTGTGCACTTTGTAATCTACTTGTTTATGATTCTCACAGTGCCATCGT